AAGGTGATATTTAAGTTTTCAAATAAAAAAATAATGTCTTGACAGGGACATGCCCTGCACAAGGCTACCAGAAATCCTAGTGGCTTTTTCATTACACATGTGAGTCCCCACTTTGGATATTTTTCTGGTATGTTTTCTCCCTTACAGAGCTGGTTTACTACAAATTCTTCCAAGGATCACAAGACAAATGTAGGAAGGCAATGAACAGTATGGCTACTTCAGATGCCAGGTGAGAATTATACAAGTGTAAGTTGCAAGCTGGTTGAATATTACTGGTACCAAACATCTGGGAGTAAATCTCACACCCTACATAGCAATGGAGCTTTAATGCCTGTAACAGTAGAAACAAAGACAGTATAACCTGCATATCCAAATGTATTATTGAAAGCTTCCATTTCCATATGCTTTTCATTTTGCAAATCTGAACCGTCTGAGATGGTGATTTTCCTGTGATATGCATCTGCACCATGTGTAGGTTGTGTCACTCTAGATCACTTTTTCTGCTGCCTGATAAGAGAGGAAGCTGGAGGGCAGATTTTGATGGGAGAGAAAGGATTACCTCCTCACTCAGGCTGCTGAAGGCAACGCAGGTGGGTGGCTCCCCATGCATAGCCTGTCCCATGCTCACACACTTAGCGAGCCACAGTTTTCACAGGGAGATCAGGTCGCATCCACAGGCACCCAACTTGGGCATCTGATGTCCACGTTGCAAAAACAGAGTGGACAGCTGCCACGAAAACCAGTGACCACTTCAGTATACAATGCCATGCCAGAACATTACACTTACTGAGGCACAAGGAGGATAGAGTTGGATTTTGGAGAAGGCAGTCACAAGTGGGCTCTCTTCCTTCAAACTTCACGTATCACTCCAGTTAGGGCTTAGAAAGAAGCTGAAGTGTATGTGTGTGTAGGACTAAACAATGGCAGTGGGGCTGTGCACCTCATGTCCAGAAAACAGAACTGCAATTAGTGTGGTGTGAGGATTCTCTTGAATCATTAGTCTCAAGCAGTCAAGCTCCAGCAAACAAAGCATTCACCTATCAAACTGATGTGAAAGAGTACCTGTACTAACTCAGGAGTTGTTCAGAAGCACTGGGTGAAACAAAACATCTGAACTTTGAAAACTGGCAAGAGGAGGATGAACATCAGTAACATATGATATGCTAGATGCAGCTTTAGGGTTTGTCTTGTGGGTGGCTCTTCCAGAGCACCATGGAGTGTGGTTTTGAAGTGCGTATTTATGCCAGAAGGAAGCCTAAAAGCCAAGATGACATTTCTTTCAAGGAGTAAAACATGTACAAAGTACTTTTGAGGTATCTGTTTAAAAGCAGATTAACTCATCCATGGATTACACACATAGGCAGCTGTAAGAATACTAGCATTACATCACCAAGAGCATGAGGTCCTACATCTAAGTGCTGCTTGAAGCTTCAAGCAGAACACACTGAAAAAGACTGTCAGTGCTGTCTTCTTACAGTCATCTGCCTCCAATTCTGCAACCATGCATGACCATCATCTATGAAAAATGATTTTATTGTATGGAAAATGAAATGGGTGGGAGAAAACTATCATTTGCAAATTCTGCAGAGGCTCAGGAGAAAGTCCAAACTAATGAATTTAGGCTGGCCAGAATCTGAGAGAACTGCCTCAACAATACTACTGGCAGGCAATAAAATTGCTAAAATCTACATCTCGATGCTACTGAACATGATGCTACTGCATCTTGATGTAATTGAAATACAGGAACAAAGTGGAGAGTTATGATGACTTACAAGATGCCACAAAGACAAATCTATTCTATATTAAATAAAGGGCTTGTTCTTAAAAATATTCCCATTGTTCTCGCCACAGAATGAACAAGACATGCACTACTCCTAAATCATCTCATTATATCACAACAGGAGTACTGGGAAGACATTTTACCAATACAGATGCCATGCAGCTCAAACCAAATGTAATACATAAAATCAGGAAATTGCACAAAAATTCTGGTACATACCTGATCTACTAATCCTGTCAATTCTGTCCATGCTAGAAGCACAGATTTTAATTCGAGGGCTACTCTGATTAGAAGATTCAGAGCCTCCATCAGCAAAAGAGTCTTCAAATGCAAAGAGTATTTCTTTCACACATTTGTGACAGACATTGTGCTGGCAAGGGAGGATCAGTGGGTGGGTAAATAACTCCTTGCATGCTGGGCAGATAAGCTCTCTTTCGATACCCTTAATGGTAACCTTCATGACAGAAGAAAGGAAAACCAACGGTAAGTGCAGGACACATGAGCCAGCAAGACTTACTGCACAGCTGTGTGTGTGTGTCACCAAACCCCAGCTCTGGAGAGTAACAGATGCACACAGTTTTAGCTGGTTGGAGGAGGGCTGCTGGTTAACACTGCAAACAAATCTCAATTAAAATTTATGAAAGCTCTAACAACATTCATTTCAACCGAAGTGAACGCTGCCACTAGGCAAACTCATTTCATCTCTAGGTCATGTCTGCATTGCAGGGGAGGAGAGGGGAGTAGTCTTAACTCCACTTAGGGACCTAGAGAAACAAAAGCAACCACACTTCTTAACAATAGGGATCCTTCACGTTTGAACCAGCTTGCTCGCTCGTTCTTCAAGAACTGAGGAGGAAGGAAAAAAAGAGAAAAAAAGAAAGAAAAAAAAAAAAGAAATCAAGTGTCCGATTGGTTAAACAACAGGCTTTCCTTCCGTATAATTCACATGTAAGGACTGACAGTGTCTTGACTTCACCACGCTAGCAGTTCGAGCCAGAAACACCGTCTGCTTGCTTATTTATTTATTTCCGCCGCACAAAGAGGACCCTGTGGATCTCGGCAGCTCCTCAGTAATTTAATGACCCCGCAGCCATCTGGCACCGCGCTCCGAGGACGCCGGAACTGCCGGGAAAGCCACCGGCAAGCGGAGCTCCAGCCAAGCATCCAGCGGC